CTTCCCAGAGGGAAAAGGGAAGGGAAGGCAAATGTCAGGGAAAAGGGAGGTAGGGTGGTCTATGCTCAGGCACGCTGTGGGGCATCAAGAGCAGACAGTGCTGGACATCTGCTTTTCCCCATTCCTCTCCCAGAGGTGAAGGCAAATCCTAGTCCATTTAGGGAGGGATAAATTACACTTAGATTCTCCTCTGTATGTGGTGTATCTTCCGCTGACTGCTCTGTGGTGTGAACTCTCACGGTTTTGCAGCCCTAAACATCCCTGCAGCAGCCTGCAGACTTATATGGCTGTGAGCAGCAGGGAAGAAGAGAGACTTTCTCAAGACTGTAAATCTAGGTACTGCTAGGTGCGACTGCCCTGTTAGACCACACAGATACAGCGTGTACATCCACTCCGGGAGATGAGGAATGTCCTAAGCGGGTCTTTCTCTCTAGGACCGCTGGAAATGAAGGGTTGCTGTCATTAAGTAGCAAAGACCCTTCCCAATGCAGGTACCCCGATAACATGTTTGCTTCCACCTCTGTCCATGCACCTGGGCTTTTACTCAGGCTCCCTTCCTGATGGTGGCCAGTGGGTTTCAGACCTGATTGCCCCAAGTTTGACTCTCCAAGTCCTGCTCAGGCACTGAGAGGAAAACAGTGCTCTTTGCGCGGGAAAACTAGGCTATCAAGTATGAACCAGGATAGGCCAGGGCACTTCCAGCCAGTGGCTCAGGAGGGAGCAAAGCTGATGGAGTGACCAGAAGAGGAGAAAAGAAAGTTAAACAAACATTGAGTCTTTAGACCGTGGGCAGGGATTGAGCTGGGAGCAGCGGGTGGGAGGCTGGATGAAAGGCAGACAGATGACGCCTGGGCCCCTTTTTTGGCCTTGAAACCCATGGCCACAGGGAGGGAGACTGATTTTCATCCCATGCTGCTGCTCAGCTTTGGCACGCAAGGGGAATTTCAAAGGGAATATAAACATCTCCATCCCCTGGAAAGTCCCCCTTGGCAGCAACCTGCCACTGCAGTGTCTTCCTGGGGGCACCCCGATAGTACTAGCATTACGTGGGGACTCGATGCTCCCACCCCTAAGCTTGGCCCTGGTATGTTGGACTCCACGGCCAGCTAGTTCAGCTCACCGAACTGGCAGAAAACTGGTCCTTGTTGTTACGAGCTATTTTTCTCCCAGTTTAGGGATCTGAACCTCGGTGGCCCCTGGCACCACTCGACAATGCTGCGTCCTCCCGCAGCTCAGAGGGGTTTGGAGCCTCCCAGATAGACATGGGTGGCCGAACTTCTCCAGCAGGCAAGTTTGCAGTGCCCAGGGTTGGTTAGGGCTCAAGGCAAGGAGGGAAGGGTACAGTTTGTTTTTGAATGGGCAGAAATTACTATTTGCACATGAATAAATAAAAAGCCAGGCCTCCATGTTCTCTTTTCGGCCCAGCGTGGGGTGTCCCAGCCCACCCTGCTCGCCGGGAATGGCCTGGGCATCGGCATTCGGTTTTGGGCTGTGCCAAGGCAAGCATCGAGACCGAAATGGCCTGCACCATGGCCAAGCAGTGCCTCAAGCATGTCCATCCTGTGCTGTCACCAGTGCGGTGGTGACAAGTGTCTACGGCATAGTTAACGCAGTGATCGCTGCAAACACCGGTTGGGGCTGGAGTGGGAGAAGACATGGGCTCAGCTTCACTTTCTCTCTCCTCTGGCAGCCCTTGGTGGAGTGCGACCCCCCCTCTCTCACCCCGGCAGCCGCCCTGACCCCTTGCTCCGGCCTCTGCACTGCCACGTCCCCTTTCTGCCGGCAGAGGACTCTGCTGCAGCAGGATTTATCCTATTAAGGAAAATGATCTCCGCAAGACAAATCAGTCCGGGATGTTGGCCTGGAAGGCAGAGAGCAGGAACTCCCCCACCAGATCCGAGCCGGGTGCTTGCTAATGAGTCCCGTACCAACGCGGGACCAGCCAAGCACGGGGTTGCATCTCTGCATGCTGGGACATCCTGGGGATAGGGAATACGAAGATGAGGCAGGGATGGAGGCATCCAGACCAGGGGTCAGGCTCTGGTAGCATCTCCTGAGCCGATGGTGGGCCATGAGCAGGTAGTGCCACTGCTTCAAAGGACGGGAAAATGCCTCTGACACAGTTGGCTGGGCTTCTGGGCTGATTCAGAAGATGTCTCAGGACCTGGGTGGTGGGATGAACCTGAATACGGTAGCCCCAAATCCTGATCTCCATGGCTATATTCCTCTTTTTAGTGGGGCCACTCAGCAAATATACATTTCTCCCTGGACTTATTCAGCTCTGGGTTCAACCCGCATCTGCAGAAATAGCTGAGATGGAAATAACAGGATGTTTGCTCTCGCCTGGTACCAGTGTGGTCCTCCCTACCGTGCTGAGGAACTGCCTGAGAAAAGGATTAAACTAGAGCAATCACGAGCTCAGGGGTTGCTGCAATGAGACCACCTGCCTGGGGTAGATTTGCAGCACGGGAAAGGGCAGCAGCCACTTTCGGGAGCCTGAACAATTTATTCCAATTTATCCCGGCTCTTTTGGGGCCACGTCCAGCGTGGGGTGGTACATGGCGTACAAAAGTCCTGCTGATCTTGCTGTTAATCTCCTGGCATTTGGGCCAAGCACAACAGAGGGAGAGGGAGAAGGACTGTGGCGAAGCTGCAGTCTTGGCAGATGTTTCGCAATCCCGTTCGCTCCGCCTGGCGATGCCTCGGGTGCTGTCACCGCCGGGAAGGAGGTGCCCTCCCCTTGCCCCGAACCCTGTGATCCATAAAACAAATAGGCCGGGTGTTCCTCCTGGATTTCACAACTGCAAGGGTCCCTCACCTTTCTCCCAAGGATGGGATCCTAATAAGGATCCACCACTGAGTGAATCATCCTCCTGCAGGATCTGTGCAATGAGCTGCGCCGGAAATCACGCCGATAAACCCTCCTTCGTTTCTAAACCTTTCCCTTGGCCATGAAGGAGCCAGAGTCCCTGGAGTCAGCAGCCCGGGGACCTTCCCGAGCATCCCTGGGTTGGGACATGCCCGGCACCTCCTCTTTGGAGGCAGCACGGGCCAAGAGCCAGGCAGCAAGTCCAACCTCACTTTTGGGATCAGGCAGCACAAAAACGCAGGGGTGCAGTTTGACCCGAAAGACAACAGTCTGATCTTTTTTCTCCCCCTCCTACGTTTCTAAGGGTTTGACCCAGGTGCAAACTGCCAGTTTTTCTGAATTTGCAGCAAAGCAAGGTGTCAGCTCCGGGTCTGCGAGACCCACAGGGCTGTGGTTTCACAGCTTGTGCCGGAAAGCAAGACACAAGGCGAGCAGGAACTCGCGGCAGGGACCGAAACACTGGGAAATTAGTTTTGGTCCCCATGACGGAGGAAGCTGCGCATGGAGGGCCGAGCAGCTCAGGACCCCTCGTGGGCAGCCGGATGCCTGGGTTCTATTTCTGGTGGCACCCAACCTCCACGGGCACCATCCGGGGGGGTGGACGCTCGCGCTGCGGTGCCTGGGGCTGTTTGATGACAGCCATCACAGGAAGCTGGGCTTGCGGGTGAGAAAGATGCTGTCGGAAAGCAATAGGTGCAGTAGGTAAGAATAGATTTGGAGGTGAGTAAGGATTTTTTGGTTGTCATTTAGAATTACACTTTTTTTCCATTTTTCAGGCTGCAATTTGCAGTCCAATTGCATTATTTTCCCTGTATGCAAGATTCCACATTTTAGAGGGTTTGAGCTGCAGAGGATTCACACGTGTGTGTCCCTGCGCCAAAAAAACCCACCCCTCTTTCTTTTTTTTTAAATACATCTCCATTATTTTAAAATCATTTACGTGAATTTTAAAAGCTGTCAGATATTTTAGTGTGAAGACGCTCTGACACCTCACTTCATTTTGATTGCAAAGGAGATGTACGGGACTGAGGTGAGAGGGAAAAAAAGGAAACGCTGAAAAAATGCTCCCTAAGGTCTTTCGTATGCCACAAAAGCAGGAGACGACAAAGACAGTTTGGTCCTCAAGTGAAAAACGGGGCTGTGAAAAGTCTCATGTTTTGGGAGAGCATTGTTGAATAAAGACAAAAAAAAAGCCTGTTATGGGAAAAGGAGAGCCGCATGTGCACCGTTGGTAAAAGAGCGCCTGACTCAACTGAAAGGCAGGAGTTATCATGACGATTTAAAGGAGCTCGAAAAACCCCAGAGTGCAAAATGAGGCTGCAAAACTCCTTGCCACGAGACAGCCTGGTGGCCACTTCTGCTGGTAATAAGCATCAGCCGACAAGGGGTTTTAAAACGAAACCCAGCTGGGCTTTTCGGGAGAGCCACGTTTGCAGAACAGAGGCAAAACCTCGAGCGGCTGCGGCCGAGAAGCCGCTTTCCCGCAGGCCGGCTCCTTTCTAATTACCGCTATCTAGCAGCTCTTGTGCCTTTCCGGGAAGCGCTGGGGACAAGCTGCTGGCCGATTTGGGAGATCTGGCGTGCCCTGGTTCAGGCACGGTTTTGCTCCGAGCGAGTTAGCGCTCTGGACCTTCCATCTCCAGCAGCTGGGCTGAGACCTTGCGGCTTATCTCATCGATGCCACTACCCAACTTGCGGTTGCAGCAGCTTTCAGCTCGCTGGGAGACTTGAAAGAGAAGTGGGTGTACCCAACAACTTACAGTAACAACATGGCCAGCTGCCTGTCTCTGCTGGTTTAAGGGTCTGCTTCCTAGAAAGGCATGAAGAGGGAAAAAAGAAGTCCTGTACGTGGACCTTGAGAAGGTCGAGCAAAAATAAGAGAAAAGCGTGCATCCTTCCAGCCCATGCAGCAGATGTGCTTGGGTGGCAGGAAACTGTTAGCGTTGTGCACTTTCCCTTGCTGCTCCCAGTGCTAAGAGCTATTTAGAAATAGTGGCTTTTTTGGTTTTCTGTTTCTCTAAAGTACCACCACGACCTCCTTGTTCCCCCTTGGTGGATATTATTCTTGCTAAATTCTCTTTCTTGGGTTTGAGTGACTCACACAAGTCAGCGCCGGGCTCAGCGACAGAGAGCGGCTATTGCCTTCAGATAAGAGGGAAGCAATTCGAGCCACTCCGTTTATTACAAGGAAGATTTCAAGGTGACTTGAGCACAGTTTATAATAAATGCATAAGTGAAACGACGGCGTCCTGAGAGATTCATTGCCTTGGCAGAGAAAGGCATAGCAGAAGCCAAGGCTGGGAGCAGACAGCAGATAAATTACAATAGAAAATAGTCATCTTTTTTTTTCACGGGGACTGTGGTTAGACGCTGGAAACCTCCCCCTGTTGGTTTCTTTCAATTAGGGTGAGAAGCCTTTGAGAATGAGCCATTTCACTCCAGCACGAGTTGTGGGTGGCCCCAGCCACCGAATGAAACAGAAAGACCCCAGGACTGCAGATTAATCAGTTAATCCAGCAACCTCATCTGGTCTTCAACAGGAGGACCCAAGGAAAGCACCCACCAAGCATGGGGAGATGGGTCACGCAGGCAGAAGACAACCAGCTACAGAATTTATCACATTACGGGTGGTGGCTTCAACCCCTTGTGAGTCTTGTGGGTGAGTGGAGATCCAGTCCCAAATTCAGGAGCGATTAGGAGGAGGCCTAGTTGCACTGAGGAGGTTTTGCCCTGCAGGTGGACTCCAGGAGACATTGCCTCACTCGGTGCCAGAGCATGTCCTAGCCTGCCTGAACCTTCGTCAGACCTTCTAAGGCCAAATCATAAGTTGTTGGGTCGCTCTGTTACAAATACCTGGCTAGGCTGTGCAGGTCTGGTGTGCAGCGACCACAAGGAGCTCCATGAAGCTGCTGGGGACAGATCGGGCGGAGGGAGGCCTGAAACCTGCTTGATGGCTTTTGAGGTCCACTTTGGCCAGCGGTAGGACAAGAGCCATTGTGGGGAGCACTGGGGTAGCCTTCGACCTGCCTCCGCACCAAAGCCTCATCCAGTACTGCTGGCTGGCTCCTTCGGGTCTCCTGTCCTCCTGTCTTCAAGAGGCAAGGACTTGGGCTGAGCACGGGCATTACTGGACATTTCTGGAAAGAGGGAGATGGTGACAAGACAAACTGAAGTCAGCTCACAGACAAAGCCCTCCCCACTGAGCTGCTGGGTTTTGGGGTGCTCCAGCAGCTCCCTCCACATGAACAGGTCAGCCAACTCTTGGGTGACATTCAGCAACCCCACTCCTACGCCTGCTACCCTTTTCCTTGTACACATTTGAGGAGATGGCATAAGAGCACTAATAGTTGAAATAAATTTATTTCCTGTAAGAAATCTGACATGTTTGCATGTTACAAAAATAAAAAATGTAGTTATTGTCATAAAAAAACACTTTTGTTTAGTATAAGTTAGTGCTCTTACAAACAATAACAAAATATATATAAATATATATATATAAATGTCCAGTGGGTACCTCTCCAACCACTCTGAACCTGAATAGTGCTGCTAGCTTATGCAGGGCCAGCACCACAGAGGGACCCACATCTGATGGTGGATAAGGTGAACCACCCTACAAATGTCCTCTTTCTCTTTAGAGGTAGTGCTCAGGGCTGAGCACAGATGGAGACAATTCCCCTGAGGCCTCCTATGGCTGGGACAATGTTGGTCAGGTCAGAGGCCCTCCAAGGGACCACGGCTCCACTGAGCCTGGACCACAGGAACCTCCCAGTTATCTCTGCAGGGTCCCAGTCACCCCGGCTGCACTTCGCTTGTTACGTGGCGCCATGTCGTTATCTCCAGCAAGCCACAAACACATGCTTAGAAGAAGGAGGGATGGGAGAAACTCTTTTTAGGTCTGAGCAATTGGTTTTAAATCAGGATCAAATGTATCTGTCTAACCTTAAAATAGAGCCGTGGCTGCTCTTACAAAATATGACTAGTCCAGCTCTGCAGGACAAACAATTTTCATTTTTGGGTGACTTAAACAGCATCCTTGTGGCAAAGCTGGGCAAGGAAACCATGTGCCTGGTCTCTCTCTACTCTTAAACCCAGCAATTACAGGGAGAAAGACCAAGTGGATCATCTAGCAAAGTGTTTTGTGGATATTTTCGCTAGCTTAGTTTGAATTGTCCTGACCGATTGCAGGATGCAAGGCCAAATCCAGTCAGGACTGGCATTAGACATGTCAACTTCTGGGTCCAATCTTGTTCAACTTTTTCATCAGTGACCTGGAGGAAGGGACAGAGGGCACCCTCAGCAAGTTTGCTGATGATACTAAACTGGGAGGAGTGGCTGACACACCAGAAGGCTGTGCTACCATTCAGAGGGACCTGGACAGGCTGAAGAGTTGGGCAGGGAGGAACCTCATGAGGTTCAATATAGGCAAGGGCAGGGTCCCGCACCTAGGGAGGAATAATCCCATGCACAGGACAGGTTGGAGGCTGACCTGCTGGAAAGCAGCTCTGCGGAGAAGGACCCGGGGGTCCTGGTGGACACCAAACTCACCATGAGCCAGCAACGTGCCCTTGTGGCCAAAAAAGGCCAATGGGATCCTCGGCTGCATTAGGAAGAGTGTTGCCAGCAGGTCAAGGGAGGTGATCACTCTTCAGCCTGGAGAAGAGAACACTGAGGGGGGACCTCATCAATGTGTCCAAGTATCTAGAGGGAGAGTGTCAAGAGGATGGGGCCAGACTGTTTTCAGTGGTGCCCGGCCACAGGACAAGAGGCAACAGGTACAAACGGAAACACAGGAGGTTCTGTCTCAATGTGAGGACAAACTTCTTTACTGTGAGGGTGATAGAGCACTGGCACAGGTTGCCCAGAGCGGCTGCGGAGTCTCCTTCTCTGGAGATATTCCAAACCCGCCTGGACATGATCCTGTGCAATGTGCTCAGGAGGACCCTGCTGGAGCAGGGGGGTTGGACTAGATGATCTCCAGAGGTCTCTTCCAACTTGGCCATTCCATGATTCTGTGATTCTGTGAACTCAATGGCTGGAAAGCTGATCAGAGAAGACTTGAGCAAAAGCAGCCAAGATGGTGCTGTCCATCCCAACTGCGACTGGCCAGATTCTGGTGGTTTTGCCCATGCTGAAGAAAATTTGACTCCTGTTGGCCACACAAAGCCATCAGTGGAGATCAGCTTACACCCATCCTCCTTGAGAAGGCATATGGAGCTTGGGGAGCTGCTTTAGGTTCAGCTCTTCTCCCCCACCTCTACTGCCTACCTTCCCATCCTTCTTCATCTGCAGACCCTGAAAAAACTTCCCAGAGGAGGAGTGTCTCTATGCAAGGGAGATGTGAGCCACTCACCACATGCTTCATGTCCTCCTCTCCTTTCACAGACCCTCAGGATCAGCACAGGGCAAGACAGCTAGCACAGCACAGGCTGGAGGATAAGAGGGCTAGGACTACATGCAGGAGCAAGGTCACTCCCTCGCTTAAAGATGCTCCAGTAGGATTTAAACCCACACAGAGGCTTAGCCCTGAGGAGCAGACACAGTGTTCCCTAATCACCGCATTTAATATTATGGCTCCTAAACTCAGCATTCAGCACTGCCAAATATCCAAAGGAAGGTCCATGCTGTCAATAAGGGATATGCTGACTTGCTCCAGCAGAGCACTGGGATTACTCGGATTATGGGGAGACTGGACAGAAAGGTCTGCGCAGGATTTTGGCAGCTCTTTGGGTCATGGCAAGCTGCTAAGGGCTGTTGTCTCTGAGCAGCAACAAGGACATGGCAGCACTTAGCTGAGGGTATGGGCACTGGTCTACACTCCTTTGCTGGAAACATGAGTCATTAACAAGAGGGTTAACAACAAAGCATAAAGAGCTCAACCCCCTTAAGTTTTAATGAGCTGGAGATGATTATTAAAGGCAGCAGCTGAGACAATGCTACGGGTTGCTAAAAGCCTTTCAAAGGTGGATGTTGCTGGGTGGCAAAGCACTAGCAGGTCTCTAGTGAGTAGGACATTAACCCCATTCGCGCTTCTTCATGGAGGAAGCAACAGGGGACCTGCTTACTGGTACCAGCAAGCTCCTGTGGGATGGAGGGTATCACTCCAGCAGCAACTCCTTTAATGGCAAAGCATTCCTTGGACAAGACCTTGAAGTCCCTTCCCGGCTAGGCATGGGTTGAAGCTGGGGAAACGTTTCTTAAGGGCTGTCAAAACTGTAGGAGTCCCTTCCCTGCAGCGGGTGGTATTTGCACTTGATATTTTTATCGACCTGTTTATTAAAACCACAGCTGACACTCCTCATCGATCGAAAGCCTTTCTTCCCTTGCCAAGACACACAAACCTTCCGATAAACACTTGCTAACAATGTGCCAGGGAATCTGGAGAAAGGCAAATGTATTTCTTCAGTTTTCCGAGGCCTTTTGCACAAAAAGTTTCTGGTTTAGAAAATGATCTTAAATATTTAGGGCATGATTTTCTAGCAGATTTTGCCACCATCATAGAGGTCACTCACATTCACTGTTGGGGAGACGCCATTCGGTGTTGAACAGTTGAGCAGATGTGCAGGTTTGGCAGAAGAGACACAGATATGGGGTTTCTTGGTATAACCACAGCAGCGTCTTCTTTAAAAAAACGTTCAAAAGAGCAGCTTGCATAGGAGTGCATTTAACAGGGACCATGCTGAAGCGGGTGCAAGCCAGGGCACTGCAGACCACCACAGGCCTCGGGAGACCCAAGGCATCACCAGCTCCCTTCACACAGTGGATAAACCCTTCCACTGGGGAGAGGGTACTCACCGTAACGTGATGGAGAGGAGCTAGGATTTCCCATCCTTGGATATTGTGTCTGTGTCGCTGGCGGTTTTCAGGTGAGTGTTGGCCGAGATTCCCAGGGCCATTTCATTTTGCGGTTTCCCTGGCATTTTGTTGCTTGCAAACTTCATAAATCTTTGTCCTGCTAAGAAATATAAAATGGGATCCAAGCAACTGTTGGTGCTAGCTAGGGGCCTGGTCACCTTATAGGCTAAATTGATAGCATTGAGGGTCTGACAACTTAAGTCCCAGTTCCGGAAGGAGTAGTACAAGGTACGAGTTATGTGGAAAGGAAGAAAGCAAACAATGAAAACCATCAGGACTATGATTATCATCTTAACTGACTTCTTTTTGGATTGGGACATGCGGGAGATACCACGTGTGGGCTGCAGCAGCCTCCGAGCCATTAGGCAATAGCACACGATGATGATGAGGAAAGGGATGCAGAAGAGAAGCACCAGCATCACTGAACTGTAAATGACAAACTGGCCAAAGAGGTCCTTCCTGGACGTGTCATGGCAGGTGACACTGTCGCCCTTCATGCTGGTAGTGACAAAGAAGAGCACAGGCGACTGGCACACCACAGTGACCGCCCACACGATGACCGACACTCTCCGGGCGTAGCGAACGTGTCCCCACTGCAGTGACTTCAGTGGGAAGCAGATGCCCAGAAATCGATGGATGCTGATGCAGAGGAGGAAAAGGATGCTGCAGTACAGGTTGGTGTAAAACAGGAAGCGGACTATCTTACACAAGCCCACGCTGAACGGCCAGTTGTCCCCCATGGCATAGTAGTACACTAGGAGGGGCAGAGAGACCACGTAGAGCGTGTCAGACACGGCCAGGTTGAACATGTACGTGGTGGAGGCGTTCCAGGTCTTGATCCTGAAGATGAAGACATAGAGGGCCAGCAGGTTGAGGAAGAGCCCCACCACACACACAATGCCATAGGAGACAGGCAGCAGGACATACTTGAAGTCCTCATCAAACATACACTTGTATGTGTTGTCTCCCGTGCTGCCCGTGACTGAGATGTTGACAATTCTGGTCCAGGTCTGAGGAGTTGTTAAGTTCGCCATCACCCTGGGGGAAAAGGAAAGAGGTGGTAAGAACACAGAGGTGAGGATTCCCTGGAAGAGGTCGGATGAGAAAACCCCACTGCTGCAGCAATGTGATGCATTGCACAGCCCAGCATTTTCATTGTTACTATGATATTTGCACACTTTCCCTCTCCTCCTGTCGATGTTGCACGTGACAATGACTCTAGCAGCGGCCGGGCGTATCTTGTGCCAGCACATCGTGTCCCCATTGAGGTCAGGACCTCGTTGTGTTGGGTGTCTAAGCAAGCAAGGTAGTCCCTCGTGTGTAAGACTTATGCTCTAGCAGATAAAGGGAGTTTTATTTATCCTTATTTTACATGTGCAGCACAGAGAAGGAACTAAACTGGTCTAGAGGTCACCAAGAAATCCAGGCCATATCTGGGTGTCAAACTCAGACCTTCTGCAGCCTAGTTCAGTGCCCCAAACCACCTTTCCTGGCAGGACCAAATCTGTTCTCCTGAGCTACAGAACGGGAAGTACAGTCCGTCCTGTGGTCAACCATCCACGAGAAGAGACACAGCTGAGCACTGTGAAATGTGCATCCTACAAAACCACAGGCAGAAAGGGCAGAAAAGGGAACTGTGTTCTTCAGAAAGCAGTCCCATGACTGGCAGGGCAGTGATTTCACAGGTCCTCCAGGTCCTTCTGGCAGAGCAGACATCACCACATCATCTGGAGACCCCTGTAATAAAACCTTGCAAAAGGGAGCATGTCTTCTGCCTTCACACTTTAGTCGCCCTACGTGGATTTAGGAGGAAATAGTTAGTTTGTTGTTGCTGATGTTTTTTTTTAATACCAAGGGGCTATGGAAAGGAAAGTGCAGGGTTTTGCTTGTGTTGCAGTGATGGTGACCATCTGGCTGGTCCTGTTCTCTGGCCTTGAGAACTGCCTCGCCAGCATCACCCCCACCAGAAAGTACATCCATGCTTGCATAAGGCCAGTTCATACACGGGAACGACTGGCTGAGACTGGAAAAATAGGCTAGAAACAGTCACTGCAGACATGCACAGTCTGGCACTGCACTGTTTTAGGAGGAACAAGGGCCCTTTTGTATGCCGGGGACAGCCCACGATCGAACCGACACACGATCGCTTAGCAAGTCCATCGGCCAGGCTGCAAAACAAAATGGATTTGCCTCGCTTTCTGCAAAACGAGCTGGTTTGGTCCCGGGTGGCGAGCAGCAATTCCCATCACGGCCCTGCACTGCAGCACCCTGTTGCAACCCCAACATACAGCCAGCTGCAAACAACCGGTGACACAAGGCTTCCTCATGCAGCCCAGCAGTTTTCCCTGAGTTGAACGATGCCAAATTCATTAAAATCCTACCTGCTAATGCTGGGTAAGAATCAAAGGGGAACTCAAACACCAGGGAGGAAGCAGAATCCAACTGTCCTGTGCATCATGGTCCTCTTGCTAAACCCAGAGGATGGAGCAGCCCGAGGGCCCGCTGGTGGGAGAGGTAATCCAGTTCGCCTTGCTGGCCAGCTGCCTGAACCGGACTGAAATGACTACTGTCCCCATGTCTACGACTCACGCAGCTAATGACAACTGTCCCTTTGAAAGGATCCCTTTGGAAAAAGTCCTGAAACAGTCCCAGCTTTCTTCTCCCCTTGTGCAAAGGCAGAGGCAGGAGGGGCTTGGAGGAGGGTGGTGAGGCTAGCGCAGCTGGAGGGGAGCTGGCGGGAAATGGGGCTATGGGGAGACGAATCCACTGCAGGAGCTCAGTGAGTGGAAGCAACCGCGGGACGAAGGATTTGGGTCAAGGTGCTCTCGTATGATTTTACTGAGCCTAGTATGTGTCCTGAGCATCCAAATCCCTGCATGGCTTTAGGTGACAGTGCACAGCTCTAATGTGGCACCACTCTACTATGCGAAACAGGATGTCCTGGGCAAGAAGGAGGCAACGCAGCGCTCCTAGAAGTTACCAACTGGGACGATCGCTGCCTGAAGTGAAGTCCCACTGCAGAGAAAGCACCCTGACAACTCATATTGGATGGACAAGGGGTGAAGCGATCCCTCCAACCCACCATCACACAGGGATAACCCCAACCTCTTGCTCCCAGGGGTGGATCAGATGAGCCAGTTCTTGCCTGGCCTCCATGGACGTGGCACAGAAACGCTCCCCACTGCCATTTCCCTCCGTTTGCTTGTCCCGTTGAACGCATTCGGGAAGCTGACCACAAGAGTCGTTGGCTGAGGCTTGCGCGTCTCAGGAACGTGGGCAGAAACCACACACTCGTGCCCTGCCTAATCTGCAACATCCGCAAAAATCCAAATATACGTTTGGAAACCGCTCTGTGCTCAACAGAAGGAACTGAGATGCATCCCGCACCATCCTGGCCCTGGCAAGTTCTGCTTTTTCTCATGCCTGGTTCTTCTTTCTTCTCACCCGCTCAAACATCCTCCACAAAACATTTTTTCCTCTGCAGATGGAGATGTCCAGTAATGCTCAGCAAAACATCAAAACACTTTCTTGCTGCTTCTCCCTTCACTCTTAGCTTTGCAGATCTGGAGCCAAAGACACAACGGTTCCCCTCAGACCTGGCAGCAGATGAAACGGTCCAACAGGCCACCATGAAGAAGCAGGCTATCCAAGAGATGTTCAGAAAGGCCCAGGGAAGGTCTACGGTGCTCCAGAAACCTCAGTCTCACATGTGGGGAGCCTCCGATGCCCTCGGAGCCAAGTGGGGATATTGCTATTGCTGATGCCATTCTCCACCCCTACCAACGTTGGGAGCAGGCAAGAGTCCTCTCCTTGCCAGCCCATCCGTGGTTCTTCCTCATTTCATCACAAGCCTTTGAAAACAGCTGCAAGGCCCAAGCTCCTGTGTTCACCCTTACTTGAGTTAGGGTATGTCCTTGCCCAGAGGGGACCTTTCAGGGCAATTTTTAGAGAAACTGGTGTAGGGGAATGACCAGAGCCTAGTGAAATGCCTGGATGAGGCTCTGGGCTAGGTGGCCACTCTGTCACCACCAATGCCAACCTCGGCACCCATCCGGCTCCCTTCAGCTTACAGCTGGGGGCTTATGGCATGCTGTGAGGGGGTTGCTTCTTTTATGAGCCATTTTGGCTTGCATCAGTGGATCTGCCACACTGAAAGTCGGCTGAAAGGCAACGCTCCCCTAATATTTCCCTGGACCCCCCATCTTTCAGTGTCCAGCCTGTTTCCACGACTTATTTTCTCCTGACAAGCTCCTGCAACGCCAACTACAGATCATGACAACTCATTTGAAACCCATCTGTAAGACGACACAGGGAATCTCCTCCAGCATTTAGGGGAATACAGGCTGCCTCAAGCTGTACAGAGCCCATGACATGGATGTGCCAAGATCCACATCGCCTTCTTTGAGAAAAAGAGCAAACGGGGCTTTCCGGTTGGCTTGACAGCATAATTATGGAGACAAAACCCTCACTCACAAGGCTGCCTTGTCCTTGCAGTGCTGCTCTCTTTCTCTCTTTCAGAAATGCTAAAGTCTTCCCGGGACAAAACCCTCCATGTCTGCCAAGGCTGTGGTTGCAGTCCACCCTGCTCGCCCCCGACCCCCTTACATCTGCAGCGAGTGAGCTGGAAAGGACGCGGCCAGCCAAGGGGAAATGCAAAAGCTGATAGTGGCTTTTTCCTCTACCTACGGGCAGGATGACAAGCGTGCCAGATTTTACAGTGATGTATCGAGCCCCGGCTGTAATGAGGGAGCAGGAAGGGACAGGGAGGAGGGAGAAAGCAAAGGCAGGCAGCAGCACTCTTTGCCCCACGAAAGCAAGCAGGAAAAACACCTCTGAGATTTTTCAAAGCAAATGCCTCCGAATGATTCGGAGAGGACCAGCCACATCTGCTTCCATCAGGTCCTTCCCATGGCTTTTTTCTCTTGCACCGAATGCAGATGACCGCACAAAGCTTTTTATACGCCCTCTGGTCACCCAGGCACACCAAGCTCAGGGCATCGCCTCTACGGGTCAACTCCTCCAGTTTGGACCACGTGCTGGGTCCAGATGAACCTGGCTACACTGGTCGAATTGGCTCACTCCATCTCTCTCTTTGCAGCCTGGCTTTGGGCTGGCTGCTGGAAGAGCCCATTTATCCCATGGGCCCTGTTTCTTTTCCCGGAAAACAGGAAAAAGCTCTTCACCTAAGAAATGAAGACAATGTGGGGACATCGCAGCACCCTGTCCAGCTGCACCAACCTACAGGTACCTCCGACCACAGTGCGGGAGGAGAAAGGTGCAGGAGGCACCCGGCGGCTGCGCTGTGTTTGCGTTGCAATCCCACGTCCCGTACGCCGTCACTTTTGCTCACGTATATATTCCCCCCGGCACATACATGCGACACTGGTATCCCAAAATACTCCTGTAACAGTATCTGAATGAGGATGAGTAAATAAGGGAATGGGGGGGCTGTTGGCGGAGGAGGGCACGCACCAAGGTCACGGGGCGCCCGAGGGACTTGTAGCACCCAGGGCCAAGGCGAGGCGACAGAGGGGAGATGGGGCTGTGCATCAAATCACTGAGCAAAGGGATTTAATCTTGTTTTTTTCCCCCTTTTCGCAGTGACCGCCACTGCCCTCCCAGCAATCTCCGGGCGATTTAGTGCTGGGGAGGCCAGCAGCAGGACCAAAATCACTGAAGCAAAGCCAAATCGCCGCCGCGATGAATGAATGCCTTTTCACTAGGCTTGGATGAGGTTTAACGGGAATAATTAGCGCGGATGCATTTTCTGGCAGGGCTGCGGAGCCGCGCAGCTGCGAGCAGCCCCGGCCGCACTGATTGCAAACGCAGCTCCCCTGGTCTCGTGCCGGAGGTCAACGCCGCGCTGCATTTTGCAGCGTTTCCTTGCCCGTCGCCTTCGCGATGGCCAGAAGCAGAGCGTGGGTGTTTTCCCTGCCCCGATTCGCAGGCATTTCGTGGAATCTGTAGGCATTTCGTGGACTCATCAAAATCCTCGCTCCGTATCAGGAACCGCTCGAGACGCTGGGAAGCGAATAACCTGGCGCGGCTTTCCCTCCTCCGGGAGCACGGTTCAAATCCTCAGCAACCACAAGAAAACAGCCAGAAACTTCTGACCCTGCGAGGCCCCGGCCGGCCGGGAGCAGGCGGCGCGAGGGCCGCTCACCCGCGCTACGTTGCGCGTCCCAGGGCCGCGGCGTCCTTGCCTCGGCCGGCACCCGCCGGCTCTGCAAACCCCGACGCTGCCCCGTGCCTCAGTTTCCCCTTCTGCCCCTCAATCAGAAACAGCCCCGGGGCCAAAAGCCCTCTGCGAAGCAGCGAGGCGTCACAGGAGTTTTGGAAGCAGCGGCCGGGAATGAATTTGAGTCGACCGTGGTGGAACAATCCCCCCTAATATATTGGGAAAGACGCAAACACGTGGAATATTTCAAATTTGTTTTCTCCGCGAAAAGTATTTTTTGAAGTTTTGGCTTAATAGGGTGTCAGAACTCGACCTAAGCTGGAAAGGGGAGTTTGGATGAAAGATAGCATAACCTGCAAAAAAAAATCTCATCATCTCATCTCGTGATTTGTATTTCAGCTCAGATGACATGTAGCAGTTGGACCCAAATGATTTTTTCCGGAAATTCCTCTTTGCTCCTGCCGAGAAACCCCCAAACTCCTCAGCTCTGATTTACATGAACCCGAAGCAATCTCCCCTCCTGGCCTTTGCTTTCAACGGCAGCTGAAAACCAAAAACCCCTCCGGTTCACCCCAACCTGGCTGCAGCACCGGGACACCCTGGTATGTCGATCCCGACGCCGGCATTAGGGGAGGCTCAACCCCCCCGAAGCAGCGGGGATGCAAAAACAAAAAAAACCCAGGGCATCACGATCCCTTAGGCCTGCTGGGGACGAAGAAGAGCGCTGTGTTGCTTTTTGGCATCATTTACAGGAGAAACGGGACTTTGCGTCCGCCCGCTAGCGAGCAACGGAGGAAGCGACGGTTGCGCCGCTGAAGGAGCGAGCCGGGACACCGGAGCGCGATCTGCGAGCAGCTAACGGCGGGACCGTTTACTCCTGCGTCTCGCTGCAAGGCGGCCAAAGGACAAGGTTTTCTTTGTGTGCCCGCAAAGGAGGAAGAGGAACTCGGAGTGTGCCAAACGCGTTTTGCAATAACCCAATAAGAAAACCGGAGCGGAGAGAGAAAGAAGATGCTTCGACCCTGCAAACCTCCGCTGCAGCAACGCCGCCCCACTCGCAGCTCCCTGGGAACGGAGGCTTTTTCGGGGCTAGTGGCCAAAGCAATGATTCAACAGGTTCGGAGACGGGGGTCTCGCTGGTGCGAAGCGAAGCGCGCCAGAGGTGGCGAACGCACGGTGGAGTGAAAGAGGGAGGCGGAGGTGCGTGCCGGAAATCACGGATAAGCCGCCAGCTGAGTGCCGCCAGCGAAGCTGCGTGGCCGGGGAAGGGTTGCGAATTAGGGAGCAAGCAAGCAACCCATGCGGGGGGAAAAAAGAGGAGCAGAGGGAGGCCGGGCTGAGGTCACGGCAGCAGGTCCGCGCTTGCTTGATCGAAGCGCTCCCACCGCCCCGTCGCTTGGGTGGGTTTTTAGGGTTCGGGGAGTTTTTGGCATCGCCGTTCAATCCCTGAGCTGGGCGAAACGGAGTTTAACTGGCTTCCCCCCGGCAGGCGTGACCGACG